CGGGCCACGCGCGCCTGCCGGCGCTCGGACTAGACAGTCGTGCGGCTGGAGGGTCGAGAGAGCGGCGGTGACGTCGGCGCGCGTCTGGAATAGGGACGGTGTCGGAAGCCAGCGTGCGGCAGGCCTGTCGGCACGGAGGCGGCTGGAGCGGACTGTGAGACGGTGCTGAGCCGCGGGTCGCCTGGTTTGGAGCGGGCTGCATCAGTCCTCGCGCGGGAGCCGGACGTTCGAGCTACGCGCCTGAGCGAACGAAGATCGGTGACATGCCGGGCGTGCTGACGTACCTGCCGCTGGCGCCGCCGCCGGCCACCCCCAGCCGGCCCGCGCTCCGCCGCAAAACGTCCATGGTATTCGATGTCAAGCTCATGGGCGACCACGTTTATGTGGTGGTTAATGAAGAGGTGGGTACCCGCCTTACGGAACTTGGTGACGGATGTCGTCCAGGAGCTCCAGCACCTCTCTAAAATTGAGTTTGGATCATTTGCAATGGTTAGATTTGGAATCAGTCATTAGTGATGAGGGCTTGACACGCCCACCATTTAGCCTGTTCTATCCCCGTTCAGTTGATTTTGCCTCCGGCGTTTCTCTTTTTTACCAGACAGTATCGCGGCGGGTTTTAGCTGTCAAACGTGCTCTTACACAGCCGCTCAGAGCCAGGTGGGCCCACGTTGACCAGTTACTAGTTGACATGACCATGCCGGTGGCGGCCAAACCTCGCCTGCGCTCTGATTAGCTACGTAATAACATTAACTGCGGGTCCTGGAGCTCAGGTGGCGTTGATTTTCATCCATCGTTGTTTTTCATCCCTTTCGTTCGTCATGATTTATGCTTTGCCATTCTGAATATTCGTAATTTGGGCTGTCACGAACATTAAGTTTCTTTTATGAATAAGTTGTTGAGCAAACGTCGTTGTTAGCCGTTCACAAAGCTGACGTTGGTCGACCGTTCGACCAGGCTGGCGGCGCGTGCTGCCGGACCGCAGCGTGTCCTTGCTCCCTTGAGCACCTCACCAGGTGGTGCAGGGATTCGCGGGCGTGCCCTGAGGCGCTCTCATCCGGACAAGGGCGAGCCCGGGTCAAAGATCTCCGGCTCCGGTCCTGCGATTTGTACGTCCATGTTGGACTAGATGTACTTAGCAAAATAATTTGTTTTCCTGATGATTCGTTTCGTATCATCGGAATGTATTGCATGGCGAATTAGCGGCGTGTTGTCCTCTTTGGCTTGGAGGGAGGTTGTGAGCCGTGGCCCTTGATGCTGAATAGCCGTCTGGCTGGGAGACTTTTTACGAAGCAATATTTCTTGAAATATTGCACATCTTTCCAACATCTCAAAAAAGGTTTTACTTGTCAGCGCAATGATTCTGTCTGAAAACAATTGAAACCTTGACGTAGTTAATGCAGTTCTAGGAAACATTTTGTGACGTTATGCGACGTTTCGCGGAGTGGGTCTGAGTGGAATAGCCTATAATGTATCTTCTGTGACGCCATTTCGTCATGAAAATGAATTCCGCCATCTAGGCAGCGGCCTGCGTGAGCTTTGGCCGGTAAATCTCTGTTGCCCTTTTGCTAGTCCTGGTGATGGGATACTCGGTAGGAGCCGAACCGTGCACGGTGCTGCTGAGGCCGGCTTATTCGGAGATCACGCTCCTCTCTCCTGCTGCGAAATAGAGTAATCTCCGCACGTTGAATGAAAACGCCCTGTTCTAGTAGCTGTAGTCGCTGTCGTAGATCCTGCAGCGTCTCCGTGCTGTGTGTGCGCAGGGAATCCCTGCGTTTTCGATGGGAGCGCCGATCGTTGCGGTAGTCCGTTCTCATTCGCCGATATCCCTCGGGCCGGTTTCTTCGTCTTCGCTTCCAAAGCCGCCGCCGTTCTGCCGCAGCTGCAGTTAGGTGGCATGTCGGGCACGTGGGCTTGGCTTAGCACCGGATGCCTCTGGACGGCTGAATATCCACTGGCTTGCCATTGGAGTTGGAATGAAGTTGGTGACATGTTTTGTCGGTTGGGGAGGATAGCCGAGTTATTCTACATATTTTGCATGTAGTGGCGCCGTTGTTTTTTATGAACGTGCTTTCCTGCAATTCCACCCATGTATGTGGCAAGGCACAAACGCGAAAACATGTGCTTTCTGCGTAGGCCAATATTACGTGCATAGTGTTTGCGGTTACACGGTTGTGCGTGACGTGATGTGACGTGTGACGACAGAGACACCAGCGTTTATGGAGCGGTTTTACAGACCAAAACAAGGGTACCGGTAGTGTAGTGGTTCACGCATCAGCGCTAACTACTGTGCGTCTGGGAAACCAGAGGTACGGGGTTCGATTTCCCGCGGTGCCCGCCCTTCCTGCCAGGGTGAGAGGCAGGCGGCGCCATATGGCCTCAGCAGCTTAGTGCGTCGTGAAGCCCCAATGACATGACGGACCAAAACAACTCCGCAGTGAAGAAGCTGCAAATATTTGCTTTGCTGCAACGGATGTAGAACAGACATTTCGTGCTCGACCTGGTCAGCGGGCTGTGTTGTAGCTTGGTGCGCAAAGTGTCGACATAATGCTGGCGCGACTAGGTTATAATGTACTATCGTTACATGGCGATCATGTGTCGCCAGGTAACCAAGTAGGTAACCAAGTCCAGCGCTGGAGAAGCATTGCGGCGTAAGGGACAAACGGCTGTCAGAAAAGGTGCTACATATGTCAGCAAAAGGTGCCATGACTTTCCGTATCTATAAACACATCATTTGGTGGACCCAGACCCGTAACACGTTGCGTCCATTATCTCTTCTCGTCGCTGCTTTGCCAAGGCGTGGTGGCCTCTGGGCGCCGCCTGACTGAACTGACGCCTCTCGCGTGCTCGGCAGGACCTGGTCAAGTCGCATCTGCTGCTGGCCGTGCGCGAGGAGGTGGACGTGCTCAAGGCCAACATCTCCAAACTCGTCGACAAGATCAGCGTGCTCGAGCGCGAGAACGAGGTGCTCAAGACGAACGCGTCCCCGGAGGTGCTGGCCCAGCTGGAGGCGACGCAGCCGAGCCAGGCGCCGTCGCCCACGCCGGGCGCCGCGGCGCCGCCCGGCCCGGCCGGCCCGCCCGGCCCGGCGCCCTAGCTGGTGGTCGCCCCGCCGGTCGGGGGTCGCCCCGCCGGTCAGGGGTCGCCCCGCCGGTCAGGGGTCGCCCCGCCCCGGGCGGCGGCGCCGTCAGAGGGACGTCGCTACGGGCGACGCTCAGGTGCTCCGTGCTGTTTTCCGGCTAGTGATCTTTGATGGCGATGATATTTATTTTTGATTGGCGCGGCGCCGCCAGGGGGCAGCTCTCGCTCGCCGCCCTCCTGGCCGCGCGGAGGGCCAGTGTGCGCGCGCGCCGCTGTCTGCGCCGGGCCGGGTTGAGCGCCGGCGACCGGCGCACCAGCCGCCCGTTCTGAGTGTAACCCCCGCTTTCTACGGGTTCGAGTCGGTGAGTGTCAGCGGTGGCATTGTGCGCCGGAATAGTCGGCCAGCATCTGAGCAATATGGGCGCGTGGCGCAGTGCCCGACGCGTTAATGTATAGAACACATTCTAAGGCTGGCTGGGTCCGGGTGTTCCCGTGCCGCGGTGCGTGAGTGGCGGTTTGAGTGTCGGTCTCATCAAACATGTATATAATCATGTTCATTGCCATGAGTGAAACTGTCCCCTGCCATACTGGCACGGTGCACTGTGCTAGCATGAAACATAGAAATACAGGTGCTGAACAGATCACCCGCTGTGTGAGGCTTGTTCCCGTCTCCGGGCCTGGCAAGGCTGATCGGCGACGCTTTATCGCCTAGTGAAATGGAGGCCGTTGATGGCTGGCTATGAGTCAGCACGCGCGGATAGCGCGTAGTTGATGCCGTCCGAGCCAGGGTAAGCTGCGCTGAGTGTGCGAGAAATATGGTCCTGCGGCTGCCGTCGAAATTCGAGAGTTCGTGCGTTCTTGAGCGCGGAATGTGGTCACCACGGATCCAGTCAGCGGTAGCTCTTTTGACGAGGTAAAAACCGGGTGGGTCTTGGTGTCAGTTTGCTGCGCGTGGCGTCCTTCCAGCTGGCCGTTATCGGGCGTAGTGGAAGTCGCCCCCCAAAGTAGGAAGTGTCCTGGCACCCGATAAATAATCATGAGCCAGCTGACCCAGATGCTGGGAAGTGAGTGGTGACCTTGCCGCCAGTGATTTAGCGAGCCCCTGCAGGCGCAGTCACGTGACGCTGTTACCAGCCGGGCTGATTGGCTACTGCGTTCGTTCAGGGCCGAAATCACTAACGCTTCCGGATTGCCGTCAGCATCAAATGAACGGCAAATCGTGAACCATTGGATCTCAAATTTTGACACAACTCTCCAACACTTGTGTGGATAAATTCGCTATGGAGGTTGAGCACTTACCAGATCCCATACACCCAGCTGGACCAGGCAGCGGACTAGTCCAGTGCGTGATCATTCCTCGGCGAAAGCATCTGCTTCGCGATCATGGTTTCGCCACAGCGGCATACTGATGGTTTGACCTCGCAGTGGTGACTGCACATGCGAGACGACAGAATGGGATCACCTCGATATTTTGCGCGGATGACCAGGAGCAATCGCAGCCGGCTCACTAGATGACCAGACTCAATCGCAGTCGGCTCACGCGAAAATCGGCAAGTCCAGCAGAAATGCCGAATGGCAGCGCCACCTATACGAAGAACTATATAAGTGACACTTCTTTGTCGCGTCGCTAGATGCCAGCACAACCTCTTACCTTTATTTCGGTCCAAAAATAATCGCACCTGGGTATCATGTTCAGCAGGGATGAAAATGCATACCTTAAGCCCATGGGCAGGGGAAACAGATCCCTCTCATTTGCTACATTAGTCTAGACACATCTGTGAGCAGCCTGTTTAAGCGTTCTGCCGCCAAAAGCCGACGCCGGTTAATGGCCGCCGGCCCACGTCCGCCCCGAAAGGGAAACCCACTTTGCACCTCCAGTCGGGCCCGTCGTCGCCAACGTACGCCGGTCGGGAGTTCTCGAGACGTGTCAGCGGCAGACGCACCATGGAGCTGGACGAAGAACGCCAGGGTTTCTTCCGGCCGTTCAGCCAGGGCGTGTTCCGCGGTCTCCGTGCCGACCAGTGGGCCAGCTTCTGCAGCCTCAGCTCCGACGAACAGCGCATCGGCTTCGTCTACGACCTGCCGGAAGTGCGACAGGTGGCGTTGGCCGAGGTATTCAAGGAGAAGGACGAGGCTGAAGCGAAGAAGAAGAAGGATGAGGGCAACGCGGCGTTCCTGGCGGGGGACTATCCGGCCGCCATGCGCTGCTACAGTCGGGCTATGGCCGTGGCGCCCTTCAAAGAAGGTGAGCGGTCACCCTGCCAGAACGTAGTGCATGCGATCGACTACCTGACAGATAAACCTACCTAGATGATAAGCGCAGGGCCCTGGACCGAATTGCTATCCAAATTTCCGCGACACTGGCATACAACAGTGACCCATGCGCGAGTGCGATGCGAAAGATATCAGGTGGCAGGTCCATCAGAGGCCCCCGCCCCAGCACAAAGGCGTTTGACCCCATTGGTATGTTAGCAGTAGCAGTATACAGCTCCAGGATATTACGAATGATCTCTAGGGTTATGACTGCCGCGCCCGTAGAGCTGTTCTGCAGATGGCGCTAAGCCCCGTGAAGCCCACGCCGCTGGCATGTGCGGCTGCGCGTGGATGATGGCCGCTCCCCTGTGCAGACGGCACGAGCGAGCTGGTGGCGGTGTGCGCCGCCAACAGGTCGGCCTGCCTCTTCCACGCCGGCCGGCACGCGCGCTGCCTGGCCGACGTCGAGCTGGCCCTGCAGTCGGGCTACCCGGTTGCCCTGCGGTTCAAGGTGCTGGACAGGTGAGGTCTCCGTCCGCCGCGCCCCCGCTCCGCTGCCGTAGCGGCCGTGGCCTCGAGGCGGCTCCGGCCCGGCTGGCGAGGTGTCCCCACGGCCGTCGGTGGCGGATTGGACCGGTTCTGCATGAAAGACGGGGAACGTTGGAAAGGCTCAGTATAGTTAATGATAGCTCAGCGTATGCGCTAAGAAAAAGTTGTATGTGTTGGTGTTTCAGCAAAAGTTAGCAAAAAATTAAAAGTTGGTAAAAATTGCATGCTCTGCTTTCAGGAGAGCCCGCAGTCTGATGGCACTGAAACGCTTCAGCGAAGCCAAGACAGCATTCCAGAGCGTCATTAAAGCTCTGGACGACGCCAATCTGGAGGCAGGCAAACACTTACATTGGCAGAAGGAAATACAGAAGATGCTAGTACTGTTCGACACGGCTAAATACACGGATGCACGTAAGTCAAAGTAACTGTATGTATTAGGTAGGTTCTTTTCCTCAAATTGATCAGATAGGATACGATAGGTGTGACGTAGTTTTTTAAAAGCCCGCTTAGGAACCAATCAGCCAGACATGACGGAGTAAAATGCTAGATATATGGCGCAGTGCAGTTCCATTACCTGACATAAGGTTTTTGTGTATCTTAAACAAATTGCACCAGTCAAATTTGTCACGCATACTGAACGCGTTATAAACCATTTCAAATGGATCAAGCATAGCAAATGAAAAAACACAATATCGAACAGAAACTAACACAAAAATGAAACGATGCATCTTGCTCGCGACCGTTTTAAATTAAGAACCATGCGTATGAATTTTCTAAGCCGTTTTAACTAATCTTCGTTGCCCCGCTCCAGCGGCCAAGCCTCAGTCCTGGCTGCCGCCGCTGCCTCCGTTGACGTCCGGAGCGAACCCGGACTATCCGTCCGCCTCCAAAAAGGTATATGTCAAGACTATAAACGCGTCGTGTAGGACGTGACGGATGTTTTAGAAGTTAAGTCCATGTTGTTTGATAATCATCCATCTCTAAGCATTATCAGTGCACAAAGTCGCGACTGCTGCATCAGCGATGTCAACAAAAGGCTTCATTTTACCTGTCAGCAAGCATTACCTGAGGGATCCAGGAGAGATCCGTGAAAATGAACACGAAAACAGTCGATACATGAGAGACGGAACTAGCGATGCCGCACAGACTCGTCGCTTTGTGAGCACTGCAGCTCTTAACTCCCAGTCCCCTTCCGATTAGCCGCCCACTGCCTCCCCGTTTTTCACGTTTCTCCGTCCCCAGCCAATCCGTCCCTCTCCCATGTTGTGAGTTTGCGCCGGCAGGTGGCGTTCAGCTCGACATCGACGGAGGGCCGGTTCGCCGTGAGCAGCCAGCCCGTGGCCGTGGGTGACGTGCTGGTGGTGGAGCGGCCGTTCGCGGCCGTGCTCCGGCCAGAGAAACACGGCACACACTGTATCCACTGCCAGACCAGGTCAGAGCGACTGCAGCTGCCCACAGACACGCCGGTGGTCACACGGCGGCGTTTTAAGTGAAGCAGGTCCTGGCATCTGCCAACAGATTTAGATGAGATGCTTGCGGTCACCACGCTATTGAGACGAAGACACAAACCCGAGAACAAATATTACGAGCAGCACACGTTCAACGTTGATGATATATGCAGACACTGATTTTGAGTGCATTTGCAAAGACAGTTAAGAATGCTTTCTGTTTGCGTAGTGACTTCGGATATGTGACTTTGCCTTGCCGTGTTGCATCCCAACTGTCGGAGTCTGCGCACCACACATTGGCGGTGAATTGGCCACACTTACGGCTCCGCCCACCGTGACTGTGCCTGTCCCTCCGTCGCCATGGCCCTGGACCTGTGCCCCTCCTCCGACCATGACGCGCTGCCGCTGTCCCGTCAGGATCCGGGACTGCGTGCCCTGCACTGGGTGCGCCGGCGTGTTGTTCTGCTCGCTCTCGTGCCGCACGGCCGCGCTCGACACCTACCACCGGTTCGAGTGCCGCATCCTGGACCTGCTGTACGCCTCGGGCATGAGCGTGACCTGCATGCTCTCGCTGCGGCTGGTGAGCCGGCTGCGGCTGCAGCAGCTGCTGGAGGCGCGGCCGCGGCTCGACCGGCCGGCGGAGCGCTACGACCCGGACGACTACGGGAATATCCACCGGCTGGTCAGCCACGCCGAGGGCAGGACGGCGGAGGCCGTGTTCCCGCTGGCATTGATGGCCGCCTTCATGCTGCGCTGCCTCGAGTTCCAGAACTACTTCGGGCCAGGTGGGCGTCACCCAGTCGTCGAGTCGCGTGTAGTGCGGGGTGGTCACCGGAAGAGGGTGGGGTCTGCTGGGGGTGAAGAGACAGCAGGTGCCATCTTGCGAGGAGGTGGTGTGGAGCCACACTGGATAAAGTGACTGTGGAAATCGTTATTCGTTTGACTTCAGGGTCGAGTTCTCATTGGCCAAGCACCTTCCGAGTTGCACCTATGACGGCGCAAGTGCCCACGTCATACACAAGCGACTATCCTCCGAGACGTAGAGACCGCTATGGCACACTTTCCTCTAACGTCATAGGTGGAAACTTGTGGACAGCTGTTGGTAATGGGGAGCGCGGACCTGGTGGTCGCTTTTGTGCCACTTCCTTTAGTTGATTCGTCGACGCAAGGGTATCAATATCCCGTGTTGTCCTCTCATTATTGGTGTCCATGGATCTTTGACTATTAGACATCACGTTCAGACGCATGCTTCTCCCGTAAACCCACCATGCACGCGCCGTCACTGAAGCGCACGTGTCGTGTCAGAGGTGGACACCACGAGCCTGGACGACACGCGGCGCTACGTGGGCGCTCTGCTGCTACACCACATCCAGCTGGTGCCCTACAACGCGCACGAGGTGGCCGAGCTGCAGATGAAGGGCTTCAACAACATCGACGACTCTCAGAGCCAGTTCCTCGGCGCGGCCGTGTACCCGACACTGGCGCTGTTCAACCACTCGTGCGACCCGGGGATCGTGCGGTCAGTGGGTCATTCAGCGCTCTTGTCATTGCCGTTTGGCGCGACAACCTAGCACCGCCCGACGCATTTCGCTTCCGGCGACGTCCCAGGGAGAGGCTGAAGTTCCTCCCCATACTCTCTTGATGATTTGAGGTATAATCATTGAGGCGCAAAAAATCAAACGACGATCAGCAGACCAGGTCCATCTCAGCTAGAACTCAATGGATTGGCATTTTTCACGCGACTGGTGTCACAGGCCAAGGAAAATGTCTAAAAACTCGCCAGGGACATTTAAACAGCTTCAGGCTTTTTTAGCGTTCTCTTTATTAAAGGGAACGTTCCGCATTTGAAAATGCTTAAGCAATCATCGGACATGATAAGGTGAGTTCACTAATATCTTTTCGTATAATTTTAGGTGGACAAGACTACTCTAGACAAACAATTTTCTGTTCAGTGGAATATGTTCCTCTGTAACCGTCATGCTTGATTACGTCATGGTGCATTGCACACCTGATTGGCCGCGCTATATCTGGAAATCGGTGCTCACAGACGCTAGAATGAAACCGAATCGGCAGTTATATTTTTTGAACATTGATCGCCGCATGGCTTATGGAATGGTAGAATTTCAGTGCCGCATCATGGCGTCATGGATGCCTGGATGAACCCTAAAATACCCACCCCCCCCCTCATGACCGCTCAATTGACGTGCAATAGCCTATAGGCTTTTGAGATGTGCAGCTTGCTCGATTAAGTTATCATTAATGGGCGCAACAAATGGAATCCGATCGGACGCCTAGACAATGTCTATCCCACGTGACCTATCATAGGGTGAAATCTTTATTATTCGATGCCATCTTGCAGTGTGATTGACCCCGAATAGCATACTGTCAAGCAAATCTACCATTTACATCGAAATAAGCAGGGAAACCGCGAGTTACTACACGTAGAGACACAGATCGTCATGAGAGCCTTCTCTGATGACGCTACAACTGAGCATCCTGACCAGACAAGAAAAACAATTCTCCTTAAACTATGTGAAACTGTCACCTGTCTCTGAGGAGTTTGCGGATCCGCTTGCCCACGGTTCGTAAGTCACACCCGGAACCTCTAAGTGGACTGCCTCTGGGCTGTCATGCCGGCGCAGGTTAAGCACAGAACTCTGTTTTTTCAGATATTTCAGCGGAACGACTGTCATAGTTCGGGCAATAAAGAATATCAGCAAAGGCGAGATGATCGCCGAGAACTACGGCCCCATTTTTACGCAGAAGACGTTGAGGGAGAGACTTCAGGTAAAGAGGCCCTATCGCCGATCATCTTGGCGAAGCTGGTGGCGCAGTCGCACGTGTTGCAGCCCGTTCAGCGATCTGTGGATTTTTCTGTTCGTCCGTTATGAACACAGTGAGCTGTTTCTTCGAAGAATATTTGCGGTCGAGAGTGCCTGCAATCGACGGCGATGAAATTGATCTGGGTCCGAACTGTTCTCACTGATACCTTGAACTGTCCTAGCATTATTTCATCGGAGTTTATGCATGTGTCGTTTCAATGAACATTTTGGCAAAAGATCAGTGTATTGGTGTTTTGGCAGAGACCTTGGTCGAAATAATTATGGTGCAAGGAACTGACGAGCATCAAACCGTTTTTAACCCTCGAAGCCACACCGACAAAACTTGCGTCTAAAAACTGGGCCGTGTTTGCTTTACGTGTCCCGTTGACAGCGCAGTCTGGAACGGATAGAAAGATCTGATAAGGGTTTGGTCATAAAGACCGTGTACGTTGTGGTTGTCACGCATGTTGTGTGCAGCGTGATAAGTTTTTAGAACTGGACACTGGACGCTATCTTTTGAGCTAATTAGGTCAGAGCTCTTTTGGCTGTGATTGGCCATATCAGAGCTGTGGCGTTAAGGAGAGAGTTTAGCGGTGGAACATGGTGGGTCGTCACGGCCACGGCTGCCTACTGTGATTGGCCATATCAGAGCTGTGGCGTTAAGGAGAGAGTTTAGCGGTGGAACATGGTGGGTCGTCACGGCCACCGCTGCCTACTGCGGGCTGAGGTCCAACTGCTGGGCGTGTTCAGCTGCTCAGCCGGGACTGCCGTGAGGACGGGACTCCAGGACTCCCGTCAGCTGTTCGGCCGGGACTTCGTCAGAATGGCCGGTTTTCAGAATGGTGGTGGGATCCAATGATTGGGAATGAAGCGGGGGGGGGGGGATAGGTACAGGTCGAATCGGACACCGTCCTGACTGACACGCGCACATCTTGCAGTATCTTCGCGAACGTTACGAGTTTGAATGCAAATGCAAGCCGTGCACGGAGCTCTGGCCAACGTTTGCTGAAATGGACAACTCCATGTGGAAGTTTAAATGTCAAACTTGCAAGGTAAGACGGCATCATAGGTTTAAGTTTGTCAGCGTCCATACCTCAGTTAGCACTTTTTGCAACCGTGCTTCATTCGGGCAGCGAGAAGGCCCTGATAATGATTGGCTGTAAAGCGTCTTTGACCATTGCCCGTTTGATGCCCTTAAGCATCTTGCAACATGACTAATAATGTGACAATGCTCCCAAATGGCAATGTTCAACGATTGCTTCAGTTACCGAGGTACAGTGTTATGTGTGAGTCATCTCTGAGCGTTCGTGTGTAGTTCTTGGTCTCTTTACTAACAAAGTGCTAGTGTTGAATTCGGCTACGATCGGCGCAGGGTCAAATCATGCCCTTGCTTGTTTCAGCACCGTGAATCCTGGGACGAAATCGACGCCTTTATACGGGGCTTATGGGCATTAAAACTAGGCACAGGATGCTTTAAAACAACTGAGCCATTCGTAACCTACACTGCCGTCCCCACGTCTCCCGTGAAGCCCTTCGTTGCCGCTGTGTGACGTGCTCGTTTGCCGTGACAGAGCGCGCTGCCCGTGTCGACGGAGACGCTGTCGCCGTTGTTCACCTGCTCTAGCTGCGGACACGAGACGAACATCATGAAGGCGCTGAAGGTGTTGCAGGACACCGAGGCCACCTTCAAGGCTGGTGAGCGGGCGCCACGGGCGGTGCCCCACTCGTGGTCCGGCCTGACCGTGTGACACCCGTCCCTCGAATAGAGTCGAGAGAGCCGCCACAGGCATCTTATGTCAGAGCTGACGTATATTTACACTTCACATATATTGATACCTTACATAGAATGACGCGTAACATAAATCAACACCTAACATGTATAGATACTTTACGTATATCGACACCTGACAAATATCTAGGCGCAGCACGCAACGAGACATGACATACCAAGATCTAGGAGTATCGGGACGCATGCAATACAGCTCTGTATTATAAGTATGCATGTCTGTGCGTATGTATCTGGGTATACCGAGATACATACAATGCAGCTCTACCGTATGCGTGCACACAGCACAGCTCCATCGCAACGTATCGATGTAGCCACGAACTCATGAGCTGCGTGGGTATCCGTGCACACAGCACAGCTCCATCGTACCGTATCGATATAGCCACGAACTCATGAGCTGTGTGGTGCGCGTCACCAAGCATCCGTGCCGTCTGCCGCGTCTGTGGTCTGCACCAGCAGGCGCTCGTGACCTCCAATCGGCTCTGTTTTGTGTCACGAGGTCTCCGTGACCTGTCAGGCGCGTGGCTTGTGTCGCCAGGTATGCGAGACCTGGAGACCGGGGACCTGAACCGCGGTATGGAGAAGCTGAAGGACAACCTGACCAGGCTGGATGAGTGTCTGTACCCTCCCTTCAGGGACTATCACCTCTGTCAGCAGGCCGTCAGGAAGGTTATGCTAACGCTCGGCAACAAATATGTGGCCGAGAGGAAGGCGTAGAGCCAGTCGAAGTTTCTTCACATCGAACGTGTGATTTTGTGATTTTTTAGTAATGTTTCCCAGCAAGATGTTTCACCCCCGTTTTCTAAGCGTGGTTTATCCGGAAATATTTGACTTCGCGCGTTATAAAACGCCGGGCAGATTTGCTGCTTGGATGTTCTTCTGCAAATATCCGTTCTCGTGGTGAATAAACCGATAAAATGTGATCGTCTGCTACCTGTCCTGACTGGTATTGAATGACTGTTCAGCAAAAGTTAGCAGGATGCGTTTTTAGGAATGATCTGGACCCACATTGAAGACCTGTCTTGTTTTGTAAATGGCAAATCCCGACACTACTGTGCCACTTAGAGAAAACGGGATGTTTACCTCAATTCTACGCCCGGTTTGAATAATTTCGCGGCTCCGAAGTTTGAATCGCCTCGCCAGATCAAACGATGACTTCTCTCGCTAAACCTGATCCGGAAGTTTCACCGCTTACTGATGAACCGTGGGCGCGTATAAAAACCTCGCTGGTTTCGTCTCTTGTCACTTTTTGCTCGCATACTTGTAGACATTGAGGGCCTCAGATAGAGGACGCGACCGATATAAACTGAACTGAACTGCCTTTCCGGGCCATTAAGTACTTCACTTTTTCCACTGGCCGTTGACTCGGTCATTCACTTTCCACGCGACTCGTACTGGGGCCCGGCGTTCGTCGCCAGCAATAGGAGGCTGCCAAGCCCCACACAGGTGCTCCGTCAAGCATCAGCGTAGACCACAACGCTGGGCCGCAGGAGGATTCATCGTCGGATCGCGGTGACTATCCTCAGGCTCGATCACACGAGCGCATTTTTGCATTCGGTTTGCTGACAGCTATCCACGAGGTGACTTTCAGGTTTCGGCTCGTTGCAACGTTCGTCGGCATCGGCTTCATTAGCTTCATCTGAAGTTCTGAAGCCATTCTATTTTGTCTACGGACAGATCGGTGGTCGACCTGCTATACTTCTGGCTGTGACGCGCAGCTGTGACAATAGCTCACCCTAAATGTGCGCATGTACGCACATTCAGCCCGCGCACTTGTTATGTTCCGGGCCATCCAACGTAGCCAGAGGCGATGAGCCTAAGCCTCAGACATCCAGCCACGTTTCCCGCCATGGATCAAGCGGGCAACGCTCCGCTAAGCTTGCGGCTTTGCTGGATCGACCCAAACCCGAAGACAGGCAGCGCACCCGAATACCATTTGCATGTCATTGAACGGAAAGATGATTTTCCTGCTGACAAGCAACAGGACCCGTGCACTCCGCATCATTTAGCGTGGAGCGAGTCAGCCGCAGCGGGTAATGCCCAAATAAACGGCGCGACCGGCGAGCTCGGTCCGTTTGCACGGAAGCGCCGGGTGGAAAACAATGCAGAGCGGGCCGGCGGCGGGCGGCGGGCGACCGCCCGCATTCCGGCACCCTCTATCCGGTCTTTCCCGTCGGTCTGCCCACTGGCAAAGGCCGTCGCGCTTCCTGGCTATGATGCGCGGGGTCGTCAACCCGGCCGAGACTCGGCGGGAACGCGGCCGCGCGCCGGGCCGGCGGCGGCCGGCGCGGCGGCGCGCGGGCGGCGCCGCCGCCGACTCTCGGCCGGCCTGCAGGAGGCGGTTCCAGGGAGCTGGTACCTGCGTCGGGATGAGTGTGCCGTCGCGCAGGCGGTTGGTGTGGCCCGGTGCGGTCCCGCGCGGTGCCGTCGGTGGCGGCCGTCTGTGTCGGCGGCGGTGGGCAGGCGCGCGCCGGTAGGACGCCGCAAACCCGGCGACCCCGATGCGGCGACAGCACGGCGCCGCGCGGCCGCCGCGACCGTGCTGACCCAGTGGTGGCGGCGCCGAAGCCCGCAGAGGCCATCTGTTAGCGGCATACCACGCGCAGCGGGATGAGAGAGGAGCCGCTCGTAGGCTGCGCCCGAGGACGTCCGGACTCAGGTGCACCACGGAGCGCCTGAAGTACTCACGCTCAGGATCAGGACAGGTGAGTCGGTGGTTTGCCATCTAACGGTTTGCGGCTGTTTTGGGCGGTGGACACGGTGGATAAACAGCGGACGCGTCTGGAATGTTTGTGAAGATGTCTCGACTCGAATGTGGACACGCGTACTGGAGTGTGTTACCGATGGTTTGGTATCGCGTGCAGCGCCGATTTGAATACACGCCATTTAATGAATTAAATGAATGAATTTAACGTGTAACGACCAGCGGCACCCACCGAAAGTTCAATAGATCATCGGTGTGCTAAGAAATGCCAGCGTTCATCGTGGACGTAGTTTTGTGAATCAGTTGGTAGGGAGGTGGGCTGTGTTGGGTGAAAATAATCAGAACTATCCTCATTTCCACGGGCTGTTTACTTTCTTCACGCAGTGGACCCACTTCCCTAAGACAAGTTCGTATGCCCCTCTAACTGAACATGGAACTGCACCCCGGTTCGCATGATCTACGCAGCTTTATATCTGCTATAGGCGTTCGAGAGTTTGTATTCCTGGCCATCAATACCGTTTGTCTAAAAATAAGACCGCTGGCAACACTAAAACTTTCCGGTCGTGTATCCAAGACCGGCACCGCCTGGTGTCAACCACGGCTGCGTCCTTCCTGTTGGCCGTGAACAGGCATACGATTGCACATAGAACTCGGCCTGATCCGAAAGAAGCCCTTGTCAGTCTCAGTTTGGACGGTGGGAGCGATTAGTCCATTCCCCTCACGGGGTCCTGGAGCCGGCTGGGTTTTGGTCGAAGCGGGAATTCCGGGAACTCCGAACTCCGAAAACCCTCCCACATCGCCTGAATCCGAACTGTGTGTATGGGCGCGGCGTGCGCGGGGTGCCTCGGGAGCGCTGGTGTGGCCGTTTGAGTCCAACTGCGGTACATGTGCCGTTTCGGTCCATTGTCTCTTGTTTAGGTTACCACGTGTACGACAGTCTGGAGCATGATCGAGTGTTCCTGTCGTCGATAATGTGCGTATGTTGAGGTCTAAAAGTGCATTGTAGAAATGTGTTGACATGCATCCATCCATACGCTCATATACACGCATGCATACCCATGCGTTCTACATGGAAATAGGTGCTCTTAGGAACATGCACACAAGTTATATCCGGATAAAACGTATGCACGAATGTAAATATTGCATATGTGCTCACATATGTGTACAAATTATAGCATCCGTTCACTAGGTAATATGTTGATACACATTCATACCCATATTAAAGCACAATTGTCACATTATCCTAGCAGGCGCCGAGAATTCGGCGTAGAATATTAGTATTTGGCAGAGAATGCTTTGATTTGCCCAAGCATTCCAGCGCTTAACTGCTATTCCAACTATTCAAACGGGTGCTGAAATAATCTGCGCAGATATCGCAAAAAGACCTTAATATTACCTTTGGTCCAAAATCAGGCGCGCAGCCAGAGCCTTGACAAGGGTGGGGCACGGGTTGACACGGGGCGGCTCCCCGATAATACAAGGCCCCTCAGAAATGCCTAACATGGCCCATTTGTTTATAAGGGCATGCTTTTATATTTGTTCTCATTTTTGCCTCTTATTGCTGGAATAGAAGCTAGAGGCTAATGCGAGATCAATTCTGCTTGGTTGTTTAAGTCAATCAGCTGAAGAAATTATGCGTTAAACGACTCATTATAATAAATCGCTGGCACTCTTCATTTTAAAATGGCTCATTAAACCCTTGCTACACCGATAGAACTCAGACACTTTGTCAGAACCTTTATCTGGGCTGTACAGGGATATTGAGAACCTTGCGAATGTAGATAGAAATGGGTAAACAATGTGTGTCAACATGGCCAAGTCAGGTTTATCTGGAAATATTCAACATTCAATCAGAATTGATAAGTGATACAAATTATGCGACGTAGCTTTTAATTTTGCGGGCTCGCAAATCGTGGCAATACAACCTCGATGCTTGGCGTTGTAGTCTCCATCGGCCCGCACAGCGTCGGCCCTGCGGCTTGCACTAAGCCATGGCCAACGGATGGACGGAAATGGTGGCGCATTTGAAAGAGTACCTTTGAACCCTGTATGACGTCATAGCGTACATTTGAAAGGTGGCAGAGCGTATATTTCACCTGCGCGATTTTTATATTGATGAATTTTGCGGATTAGCCTTTACAGCTCCGCGAAATGGTGCTGGAGTCTGCTGATAGAACTAGAGAAGTAAAGGTATAATTTCAATTTCTTGTGCTGCGGTAGCTGTAAATCTGTCCAGAGGACAATCTCAAAGTTGTAAAAAGGTACGCCTAGCTTAAGGTGTGACGGATGCGAATCTATTTTTTAACACATTCGGAAGTATTATTCTGCGACGCTTGCTCTCTCGCCCGCACGGCATCCGCCGCCTGGCGTTACTCGTAGAGACCACCGCCGTTCGGTTTTACGGCTGCTGCAACCCAGGCCATCCCTATCCTTACCTCCGAGATTGCGGGCGCGCAGGCTCGAGCCTCTTGATGATTGGTTTCACTAGTCGATTCTGTAAAGGAATACTCGTTCTCAGGCAAGCACGAGAAGACCTCGCACCCTTTTTAACTCATTTTGGCTCACTCTTTTCAACATTAGTGGAACCCCTTAGTGCTTTCCGGGAAACGGACGCCCTTGAGAAGAACACTAGGGGACACATTATTGTCCCCGATCAAGGGCTGAAGGGCCACTCCGACCCACCGCGGGCTGTCTTCCGGCTGTCATTCTGGTGTCACGGGCAGGATCTCCTGGCCGATCCGGAGGCCCTTAGAGGGATGCATCATCACACTGGTCCCCCTCGCTGACGAGGGAGGCCTCCTGGCCCGCGCAGGTTGCAGTTGACCCCGGATCGACGCAGGAACCCTCATTGACGCAACAGCATCCTGACTACCGCGGGTGGTCCAATAATTGGCACATGGATCCCAGTTTGGCTTAACAGGTCCATGATGCAGTTGGGTTCGAGGGCCCAACGTTCGGAACTAGGGGCCCTGACTGGCACGGAACCCTTCCATTGCCTCAATGTGAGCAACCATCCTAAGGTGTCATGTTTCCTTTCATTGTCAGAGGGCCTCAATCGACGCAACAAGGCCCTCTGTCATTCGGGGTCCCGTCGTCGTCCCTGTTGAGCAACCCTTCCCCCGACTGACTCCCTTGTTGGCACAGAATGCCTGTTGGGCATTGCGGACCCCTGAGCGATACCGGAGCCCCGCATTGCTGCAGGGACCCCGACCA